TTATTGCACTTATATTTTGTACATTTTTGTGAATTAGTTTGGTTTACATTCTGACACTTTGACCAGTTTTGTGCTGTTAAATAATTACAATAAAAAACAGAAAAAAAACAAAGTTTGTACGAATTAGAATCAGTTATATACAAAATTATTATTTTAACTCATCTCAAATGGTAAATAAGCCTTTGAACAACTTTTGACAGTATTAACAGTTTAGAAGATTGTAAAAAAAGTATCAAGAAACCATACAGACTAAATTTGATAGAAACAGGAGTCTTTGAATATATATATATATATATATATATATATATAAAAAAAATTCTAAAGAATTAATGAATTTATTTTTAATCTGACATTTTTAATTACTTCAAATGTTGATTTCTCCTACAAAGAAAAATACAGATTCAAACCTGCCAAAGAGCACATTTTCCTTAAGTTTTCTAGAGTATGCAGGCCAGTAGACATAATGTTTCAAATTTTTAAAAAATTAGAGCATCTATTTCAAACACGAGTATCTGTTAAAAATAACATTTAAAATAATAATATATATATATATATCTTTAGGATTTGCAACATAGATATATTAGTTAACACAGCTCATTATCCTAGGAATAAAACTGTTTTGTGATGTCTGATTGTGATGCTTATAAAATAATTCCTTTGAAAACCAAAATTTTTGTTATAAAAAAACACAAAAATCATTGACAAAAAGATTTTCTGTTCATCCCTAACATGAAAATTTACTAAGTTTACTTTAGCCTATGGATACAGGAGGATTGTATTATTTCAGTCTTCCAAGTTAGAAAGACCTGTGTACCTTGAGAATCAGCATTTGAAATTCATGATTTACCTTTGGCTTAAACATTGGCAACCAGAACTAGTGGGAAAAAACACAACTACATTGACTACCAAGATAGTACCCATTTAACTCTCATATATTTGCTCACATGAACACACTTCCTGATGCCAAGAGCAAAAAAATTTCTATAATCTAGAAGAAAAAATACCATGGCTCATGATTTTTCTGTATATTCTACTTATCATTTACTTGAGATATGTTTTTTAAGACATGAAAAGGACTTTATGTAGAATGCTTTACAAAAAGCACATTTGCAATATGGAGCCAAATAAAAAAAAATATCTGACATTGTGACATTTTTTTTTATTTTGCTGCCAAAACTTTCTTGAAAGGATCAGTTGTGCCCTAAATCAGGAAATTAAGTTTAATATTTTTTTTATTTTTAATCCAAAGTTAATATATATGCATAATTTTATAAAATATATTTCAAGTTTGTTCATTTTTTAGTAAAGTGCTATAATTTGCAGAAGTCGTCATTTTTAAAAAAAAATATCTGCCTATCTAGTAACTGTATAAATATGGATTGTTGATTTGTTTGCAAGAAAAAGTTCTCCTGTATTCATAGAAATGTTTAGATTAGTCTGGCACAAGACTACAAGTGGGACACCAATGAAAACCAAACACACAGCACAAGCTAACCATCACTCCAAGTGAAGCATCCTGTCTCCAGAAATATAGATCAATATTAACTGATCAATAAACTATTACAAGGGTGGATCAAAACCTCAAGTGGAACTCATATATATGATCCATAACAAGATGCTAGAAAAATGGTTGGCTCTTTGTGCTGATCCTAGAAGTACCTGACTCCTACCATGCTTTACCTTTACAAGAGTAAGATCAGACCAAAAATAGAGTATTGCCATATCTGAGCTGGAGCTACCCAATCTTCACTTTCCATTTTTGACAGAATTCAAAATAGTTTCTGCAGCCTTGTGGGGTGGGGGAGGACTTATTTCACACCCTGCAACCCTTTTCCTATAAACACAACATCCCATCCTATCCCTAATTCTATGGCAAATATTCAGACAAATTCCAGTCTCTAGTGGCATCAGTTTAGACCATTGCAACCAAGACCCACCTTGCTACATCCACAACATTGAATCACCCTCATTCCCTACATATTCCATTGGTAAGAGGGTTGTCCAACTCAGTGTCTTCCCAAGAACCATTACTTTATGGAACAGACTATCACATGGATTCTTCCCTGAAAACTACAATCTTAACCTCTTCCAGGCTATGGTCAATCATTATCTATCCTTCATATCCTCATAATCTTCACTTCCTACATTCATATCACATCATTACTTATTCAGTAACCCTCTACCTTGAGTGCCTCTTAGACCTTGTATTGTGTAAAAGACGGCTAGTGTCATAAAGACAGATTCAGCTTTAAGGCAGTCTTAGCTATTATTTTTTAACAGACCTTTATGGTCTAACAACAGAGCCACATAAGGAAGATTGCATGGTATATAGCTTTCCAGTAGGGAGAGCCTGCTGGCCTTTAAAATCACCACTCAAAATCCAGGCTTCAACATAATGCCTGAAGCTAACTGAACAAGTTTTTTTCACTGAGGGAATTCAACAATAAAAATTAGGTCCACTTACCATCTCATATGAAAAAAAAAAAAATTAAATTACTATTAATTGACTCTTAATACATGGACATTATGACTGTAATTTCTGCTGTTGAAAAGTCTTGACTATCCTCATACCTTGATCTTAGGAAAAACTCTTACCTCCAAAATAATTCAAGCATCAATGAAAAGTTTTTGTGTCTATATCCACATTGGTTACAAACTTTCCAAATCTCTTACATATTTGTTTTTGTCTAGTTTATGTATCTCTTGAACAGAGGTTGGTTAATACTGAAGAAGAATGAAGTAATTCTTTAATGCTAAAATGTTACTACTTTTTTTTTTATTTTATTATATGCCTTTCCAGTCAAACTACTATACTCATCTTGATTACTATATTCCCAACATTTCTGTTTTTGTGCCCACCAGCTATTCTTCAGGTGTCTGTCATCATACTTGGTAACCTTCTCAGAATTTTTAATTCCAGTCAGAATCATTGCATTCACTTATATGCAAATACCCTTGGGAAATCTAGGAGTTCATTTCCCCATAGCTATGGGTTAAACAGTAGGACTTGTATCTGAAAAAAATATTGTTATTCTCAAAAAAAAAAAAAAAAAAAAAAAAAAAAATGCAAATGCAATATTTGCATTAAAAAAAATTATTCTTACAATTCAAAATATATTTCAGCTTTAAATAACTCACAAAGGGTTGATAAGCCATTAAAAAAAAAAAAAAAATCAATCTCAGAATTTTTAACTTTATTCAATCCACAGGAGACACATGGCCTAGTAGATTAAATCATTGATTAAAACATATTTAGTTCCCTGGCAGTTGTGAATTCAATCCCTGGGTTGGGTAATCCTGGAAAGTCACATATTCTGGTTCAGTCAGTGAGCATTAACTAATGAGTTATCCCTTATGTGTGGAAAGCTAAATAAGAACATTCTAAGCCCTGAGTATGGTTTAAAAATTCCACAAAGGTTATCAATTACAGTATACACTTGTATAAGTCCAAAGTCTACAATGGCTGAAACACTGTAAGAATATCCACTAAAATGAATATATTTGTCTCGATGAATAAATTCCTTATCTAAAAAAAAAAAAAAAAAAAGAAATTCTGCCAAAAAATTTTCTTTGAATTTGTTTTGCTTTTTTGAAATCTGTATTTTTTACCATAAAGCATTAAAATTCTATAAATTATTTAAAAAACAAAAAAAGAATAAATTTCAATAATAAAAGCAAAAAATAACTGAAGTGATATTTCACGAATAGAAAATGGTTTTATGCAATCAATTCTAGCATGAGACCATATTTGTGGAGCACCCAGTGTGAAACAAACTCAATAGCAATAGTTTGCAATATTATCATTCTACCATATGTACTTTGTAGATATTTGTTTGATAAACTCAGTTTCAGCACAAGGCCAGTTTCATACATTTCTTAAATGAGAAACAAACTTACTAATAATGATGAATGTTACTCTCTGGCAGACACTCAACTTTTTTTCTTTTTTTTTTTTTTTTTTTTTATTTGATTCAAAGAAGGGAATTATCACTTGGAAAAGCTTCCTTAATATAATGAAAAGAACTCCCACACTTTTTTTTTTTGAACTGACACAATCCAAAGATCTTAGATATAAGGATAAATGTGATATATACAAGGGGATGCTGAAAAGTTTATGGTCCCAATCCACTTTCCAAAATCTGACCAAGTATCAGAATTTTGTGGAAGAATCCCTTATTGTTCAGACCAAGAACTTTTCAGCACCACCTCATAATGGCTGCCATTGCTTGACATATTTGTAGCAGTCAGGCAAGTATAACAATTGTGTTGATGATTGATATTTTTATGTATACATTTAATGATGTACGTATGAGATTTAAAGAAACACGAGGTAGGTAATAATTATAGTACATACAATAGAATAGATTAGCAATAATTGCTTATACCTATTGACAATTTGGCAGAATTATTTTACACCCAATGTAAATAAAACCAAAAATGACTATTCCTATAATGACCATTTTTGAACTAAACAATTTACTTTAGTTCATTTTATGCAGAACCACATACAAAAAAAATCCCTGCTTGCTTGTAATGACCAATCAAAATTTACAGACCAGTTTCTTATCACAATAATTTCTTATCAATAATTGGCTTACATACAACCTTAACTATTAATACCACAAAAGGTTTCAGATAAGGCATATTTACAATATATATCTCACACAAACAAGGGTGGATGAATAAGTCTGTAGCCTGGCATGTAGCTATTTCCTCAATTTTTATCGAAATTAATTTTCACTGTATAAAGTTCAATCTCTGTGATTAATATTCACTGAATTAAGTGCATTGATAAGGATGGAGATTATATTGAAAAATAAATATTTTTGTGTAAAATAAATGCTTTATCATCATTAGGCTGCAGACTTATTGATATACCTTTCATATACATACATATATATAATTTCTATAAAAATTTATTTTTGTTGATGAGATTCTTGAAATCTCAAACTGCCTTTGAAATGACTGGCATATCTATGCAGTGTCTAAAAGCCTTCTTATCACTTCCCAAAATTCTTCATGTACTGGAAGAATTCTCCAATTGGTCGCACAGCATCAAGAATTTGTTTCAACATTAACATTGTTTCCTCATGATGGCGTTGCTGGTTATATTTCAATTCTTCAAGTTTGTCATCAATTATATCAATCATATCTCCCACACCAGCCCATTCTGTTTCAATTCGGCGTGATTTTCGAGGTGGGGACATGTGGCCAGGTATGGACTCATCCACCTCCACCTCTAAGTCAGCTTCCTGCTTGATCTCAACATCACTGGACAGAAGATCTGTGTCATTCACCTCACAGATCATGGGAGGAGCACTGCTACTGCTCTCATTTATATGAAGTGGCTGGAAATAGATAATAATATTGGCATAATTAAGACCTTATATATCTTTAAAAAAAAAAAAAAAAAGTCAATAAATTACTTTATACAGTTTGGAGTTGTAGCTCATTTGTTTAATCCTCTGGATCAATGACATTGTGGATATAAGTGTTGACTAAGTATTTTAATTTACCTGATGACAAGCTCAATCCTTGGGTCAGGAAATGGAATCCATTCAGTGGAATGGGTGGAAGTGGTATTGTAGCATAGTGACTATTTTGACAAGATTTTAGTAGTGTATGAATAATGTTTCATGGCTGGAGCAAATGAAACAGTTATACTTAATAAATGAGTATTGGTATATGTTATGTTCCATGCTAATAGGAATATATACTTGAAAAACAAGGTGGGTAAAATAAGTAAAGGTTTATTGTAAAAACCAATACAATAAGAATAAAAGTAACAGTTATGCACAAGGTCGTCGCAAGTAAGTCCAATAGTGAGTGCTACTATTGGAAGGTTGGTAGTTCTCACATAAGTCTCAGTCGTACTCAACAGATCCCAGCTAGTAATATTTACCAACCTCCCCACGGGGTAGGATGTGGCACAAGGCCGAATTTAATGTGGGGCAATCCAAGCCTGTGGGCTCAGCCAAAAATTCCCCATAAACAGATTCAAGCCTGTCTACCTCTCCGGATGAGACTCTGCTCTTCGCCATAGCCTCATCCTGGTTCTTCTCTGCCCAAAGGCAGAGAGTTCAACAACAGCTAAGAGCTAAGTAACAGATTCCAGCTAGTATATCTACTAACCTCCACATGTGGTCAGATGTGGCACAAGGCCAAATTTAACATGGGACATCTAAGCCCATAGGCTCGGCCAAAAAATCCCTGTAAACCCCACATAAACAGGTTCAGGTCTGTCTACCTCCCCGGACGAGACTCTGCCCTTTGGCATAGACTTGTCCGGGTTCCTCTCTGCCCAAAGGCAGAGAGTTTGACAGCACAGCTGGAACAGATCCCAGCTAGTATATTTAGCTACCCCACCACGAGAGTTGCATGTGGCACAAGGCCAGTTTAACGTGGGCTCTCTGAACCCATATGCTCGGCCAAAAATATTCCCTTTCGAACCCGTATAAACAGGTTCAGTCTACCTCCCCGAACAAGACTGCCCTTTGGTGGAGCCTTGTCCAGGTTCCTCTCTGCCCGAAGGCAGAGAGTTCGACTATTTAGCTGGAGCAGGTCGCAGCTAGGCTCTGTAGTCCGTTGACTTACAGATACTTATAGGTCATTACTACCTATAGTATAGGACAGTGACAGGTTATTCCGTTACATCAGTATACAAAAAATTAAGACTATAATGGATAAAGAAACCAAATGGAACAGTTAATTAGAATGTATAGAAACTACTTAATTAAGGCTTTGAGATTGGAATTAGTGAGAGTTGAAACCTGTATTCCTAATTTAAACATGTGTAGATAATATCGATTTAATGAGTGAGAAAAAATTATCCAAATATTTTCCTATTCACCCAAAATATATGTATTTCTCATTGCTTAACCCTAACTCAGAAAATAAAGAAATATACTTAAGGGCACATATAATAGCCCTGGCTAGCCAGCTCAGAATATTTGCTTTGTCTGAAGAAAAAGTTTATGTAACAATTCCAGTAAGTGAAGACTTTATAAACAGAAAAGTCCACACTCACAGGCAGTCAAAGAATTTGTCCCAACCAGTCAGAATTTTTTTTATCAGAAAAAGCCTTGTGATTTGAATTCATTTTCAGCTAAAAGTTTTACCATGGACCTATCAGATATCAAATTCGATATGTCAGCACAACACTAGTTGCAACATAGCAGAGAACACATTGTGGCATGGCTACTTGCAACATAGCAGAAACAGATTATAGATGGTGTGGCAGCATTCACAATTCATCATACCCCACTACCCAAGGACCAATGAAGGTATATCTAACACTAGCAGTAGAGCCCGGCGTTGCCCAGGGATATAACAGTAAGAGATAGATCAAGTATCCACCATCATAAAGACTGAAAAATAAAATTGACAAAGATTATTGTTTAAGGTTGACAGACACGCATGTCTTAATTAGTTTTTTTTTTTTTTTTACGAATTGGTCAAACCCAAACTCAAACAAAAACATTGTTTTCAATTGTTATAAGTCTCTACCGATTGAATAGAATTTTATTATAAACAATTGTCTTGTAAATGGAATTTTTAAAGCATTCTGAATGTAAAAATAAAGAAAAAAAGTGTGCAAGACAATAAGAAACACTACATGCCAAAAAAAAAAAAAAAAGTTTTGTTGAAATCGGTTGAAAATGTAGGTAGCCTTTCTGTAATCTTTTAGTTTTACAATTTATGATTTTACTTATTGAATACAGTAAAAAAAATTGCATATTTTGCTTGTGGTGATTCATAATTAGAATTCTGATTTGAATATATTTTCCACTCGTTGTTTCTAATACAAAAAATATTAACTTTATTTGGGTTTATTAATTATGATCTAACAAATCTTATTCATTTAATAGCCTTTCTGTAATAATAATCTTTTACAATTTATGATTTTTACTTATTGAATACAGTAAAAAAATTGGACACCATGTGTATTTAAAGTAGTTTCCTGTTCCGGTTATTATTTTTAGTTAGGACTTGTGTATGTTTAGATTTCATTATCTTTCCCTAAAGAATTTATTCCGATGTTTGTATTCGTACAATCAGTAGAGATCGTTAGATTATTGTTTAAGTTTGACGGACACGCATGTCTTAATTAGTTTTTATTTTTTTTATTTTTTATGAATTGATCAAACCCAAACTCAAACATTGTTTTCAATCGTTATGAGTCTCCCGATTGAATACAATTTTATTATAAATAATTGTCTTGTAAATGGAATTTTTAAAGCATTCTGAATGTTAAAAATAAAGAAAAAAGTGTGCAAGAGAATAAGAAACACTACCTGCCAAAAAAAAAAAAAAAAAAAAAAAAGTTTGTTTTGTTTTATCGGCTGAAAAATATAGGAAATCCGCTCCCATATTTAAAGGAACCACACACACACAAACCCGATGTGAGTTGTCCCCCTTCCATTTTCACGATGTCTCTTAATCGTGTTTTCAAATTGATTTTGTGCAAAAACAATGATATTTTTCCCATTTTTGGCGCTGTTAGAACCACCACAAGGTAATTTTATGTAGTCCTGTGAAGTTTTGTTGAAATCGGTTGAAAAATGTAGGAAATCCGATCCAATATATAAACGTTACAGACACACACACAATCTGCATTTTATAATAAGTAAGATGACAGTACAGTCAATGAAGAGTGCACCTGAGTTCTTGTGGCCTGTTCTGTCATCATTTTTAGTATCACAAGGAATAACAAAGAACAAACTAATAGAATTGAGTAATACAAGATATCCCCCTCTGTTGTGAACAGCAGAATAAGTATACTCGCATGGAGTGATAAAGGGCTCAGTTTGAAATTCTGAAAACTTAACAGCCACCAAAAGAAGGCTTATAAGGTGAAACAGCCAAAATGATTTGAACAACCAGGATCAGAACAACAGGTCAAATAAGTCAGTCTACAATAATGATAAGTCCTCATCTCAGAAATTCAGTGTGGTAACTTAGGAATCCTGATGCCTTATGTACCAGTCCCTAGTAAATCAGACAGTAGAACTGGAAGGATTGTCACTGGTGGTGAAAAAGTGGGAAGAACCAAAAATAGGAGTGAACAGGATGATGGACTGTCTCAATTGTGTTGTATTTTACAATAAAGTTGTTGAGAGCCTAATCTGCTTTTTTGTTGTCATCTTTGATACTACAAGTGGACATTTTTTTTTATTTTATTACACAGTACTTAGTTCATTTGTATACTTGTAAATCAATATCTAAAAATATAAATATTAACAAATACATTTTTCACTAACATCAAATTTAGGAATTTTTTTTTTTAATATTCTTAATTTACCTCATACAAGACCAATAAATAACAAACAAAAAATATTATTGTACATAACAAATGATAAAGATGTATTTAGTAACAGCCAACTGGTAAACTGATAAATGTATCCTTGAACAGACAATTTATTCAAATATGTCAAACACACATGCCAATAGGCAAATTTTACCCATGTATAGATATATAAATCTTCAAACTTATTAATAATTAAACTTATGGTTAAATCCATGTCAATTTATTGGTGAAGTGCTCAAATTCTCACTTTTCAGTGTTTTCTTTTTTTTTATGCCTCCATTTTGTTGTTCATTCCTACTTCCTAAGACTCTTAAAAGTTGCTGCAAACAAACAAAACACAAACAAAATGGGAGAGTTATGGCAGTCACAAATAGGGTTGCCAACTGTCCTTTATTGGAATAAACAGTCTTTATTCAGCTCTTTCATTCTTGTCCTTTGCTGTTGAATTTGGAAACTAAAAGACAATATTATATTCAATTAGATTTTGTATCAACAGGAATTAAATTAAAAATTACTATTTATACTTTTTACTTGATGTCCTTTATTATAATTAGACAGTGTTGGCAACTCTAGTCACAAACCAATCTTTATTCTTTTATAGGAAAGATATTCCCTTCATTCATAGCAGGAAAAGAAAATATTATGTGATAGAACAACACTTAAAAAGTAGACTTTTGTCCATAAAAGCTATTTTTTAAATTGTTTTCTGCTCTTTTCACAAACATGTTTGTTTTATATGCTACTAGGAATATATCAAAACTTTAAAAAAATGTTCAAAATTAATTTGAAGAGTACTGAGGAAGGCACTTTTTCTAAAAGCGAAATCCAAGCTAACCCAAATATTTCATCATCATGTTTGCAGTCTGAACAGCATAATAATGGCAATTTTAAAAAAGAAACACAGATTTTGGATTTTGAAGAAACTAACCTCAAAAATTAAACGATAATATAGAAATTTCCACCAGAGGATCAAAAAAAATCTTCATTGATCCTGTGAGGGAAAGCTTTTAATTTACTATAAAAGAATATGGCATTCTATGAAAAAATGCTTAAATACAACCATCACAAGTTTGTTAATAGATATTAAAAAATTTTTAAATTATTTTTTTTATAAATTTTGATTTAAAAAAAATTTTTTAAAAATCAGGAAAAGGATTTTTTTTATATGATGTTAATCCAGATTAACATTCAAATTCTGAACTTAACAGCTATTTCAACTTCTAAGAATAAAATCAAATAATGTTGTGGTTTGACCAAAGAAAAAGCTTGTGTAGCTGCACAACAATAGTACAACTGATTTTGTAAGTCATGTTTAAAGAATAAATACACAAACATCAGAAAGTTTATCCAAACCAAATTCAAAGATGACAACTTTACTAAAGGAAAACATATTTTGGCAGTTTGATAATTTTTCAGTGTATTTAAAAATAAAACTGAGTAACAAAAGATTTTTGTTTGTTATACAGACAAATGATGCTCTACTAGACTAAATTGTGTACACTGATTTTGAATCTGTACTTAGAATTCTTCACATGCATCAGATTTTTTAAGTTATGTTCATAGCATACTTATGTTGAAGATAAATATTATATTAATATATTAGTTCTGTATATAGTATATTTCTGTTCAAGGAAAATTTAAATGATGACGAGGAATAAGTGAATAAATATAAAATAATTTGTTTCTGATATCTTCAGAAATTTTTAAGACCCTTGTGAGTTAAGCTGGTTTCCTGTTGTAGAACCCAGCAGTATTTAACCATCAGATTTGGGTTGAACTTATTTGATACCTCAATTCCATCTCAGGTATGATTTGATACTATGGACATCCAAGTACCAAGGGAAGACATGGTTTTATCTTGATCTCAAGTGTCTCCGTTTAATAGCTATCCAGTGGTCCCTTTTTAAGTCTAGTTTTCTAAGTGGCATCTACTTTGACTGAAGAGGAACGGGAAGTAAAGGACTGGATAAGGAGTTTTTTGGAGATCAAGTGGCAACAAAACCGGAAATAGTGTATATCCAGGTGCTAGTTTATATTAACATTCATGCATGGGATTGAGGGGTGGGGGATTGTTCTATTGGCAGGAGACGGACTTCTCAATCATGTGGTTCCTGTTCCATTTGTATTGCCATTCACTACATCAAGATGAGTAGGTGGGGGAATATTTGGTAGGGGGAAGAGCTCAGCTGTTAAACCAACATAGACGTTGTCCCAAGTATCACCTGTCTACCCACCCAGACAAGCAGGTGATGACCTGAATAAGACATCTACAAATAATTTTGGAAACAAGGCTTGCATTCTTATTTCTCAATGTGGCATTTGTTTTTCATCTTGTTACCTTGTGAGCAGCAGCAGCAAGCCCTTTCCAAGCTTTTGGTACACATTGACAAAATCGAGAATTGAAATGCAATGTGGGGTAATCACTGGCTGGTCAGTAGAAAGCTTGGGTGAGGGTTGCATTGTATGTTTACAGTGATTTGAATCTCTCCCTATGCTCATCACTTATGACACTCAGATCTATTGGAAAAAAAAAAAAAAAACAGATTGGAGATAAGAATGCAAGAAGTGCATTTTAAGAAGCATCTGGCATCCCATCTTTCATATGCTGTTAGAATGTTTATTAAATCAGCACAGTTTTATTTCTATAAAATCCAAGAACAATGATACAATTGCCATAATAATGTGCTTTGCTATTCAAACCAAATTGCTTATGTTGGTTGTTATACTCACAACATTTTGGTTGTTGTACACTCCAGCCTTCTTCAGGTGTCTCAGTAACCTTCTTGGAATTTTGAGCTGAACCCTTTATTTAATTCATGCCTAGTGGATTAAAGTGTCAGTTTGAATCTACTAAGTTGCCTGGTAGTTGTGAGCTTAATCACTGGGTCAGGTAGTGCTGAAAAGTCACACTGGTTCAGTGGAAGAGATGAACATGTGACTGAAAGGGGAATATTGATTGATTAATTTGTTTTTTATGGTTTATCAAACTTTTGCAGGTTATTAAAAGCCAGAAAATATTTTTAGATTGTTAAAATTTTTCTGCAGATAATAATGATTTACTGACACGAGTTCTACTAATCAACACATAGCTGGGAGAATGGAAAGTCTAATGAGAGCAATCTACCTCCATGTATTGAAGGTTCAGTTTGAAATTCCAATAAAGTTACCAAATACAAGGACAGATACCTGAAGAAGGTCAGAGGATACAATGGCTGAAACAATGTGGGTATAACAACCAAAATGAGCATAAGTATATAATAATTTCTCATCTCAAACTTTTGGACAGAAACAACTAACAAATTCATCCCCTGTCACCAAAGCAAGGATATGCAAAAGTACTATTAATATAGTATTTACGGTGAACATAAACATACTATGTACATAGTTCAAAAGTTTGACATACTCGGACATTTCCGAGTATAAATCTGGAATCAACATACTCAATTTAATCTACTACAGCATCATTTGTCTGATAGCAGTCTAAAGCACTTGCTTTTAACCAAGTAGAAAAACCTTTCTTGGCCAGTGTAATTCAAATTTACAAATATTTGTAAATTCAGTAATATTTATAAGTTTCAACACTACTTAAATAGACCGATCCACTTGTAAAAAAAATAGGGAAATAATTCTTGTACATTAGCATTCGGCATTAGGCCACAGCACTTGTCAAAATTGAAAAATATTGATACAATGTCAAATCAATCACTGCATTTACAGGGTTATTGGACTTGGCTGTTTTGAGTATGAAAACAGATTTCATACAGTTTTCTTTTAAAGAACAGATATATACACATATGAACAAAAATTTACATAAATTAATAAAAGTATGTATCCATTTATTCTTTATTTTATATACATAACTATTATAATCAAATGTTTGTGTATGAATGTCTAAAAAAATATCCTACACAAAAAATTAAAAAAAAAAAGGTTTAAAAAAAATTCAGAAAATTTTTAAAATATGCAAATATCAATGATGTTACCACATTATCAAAACTTGACATTTATAAATAACAGCTTAGTCCATTAACTCCATCAGGAATAGATTTCATTGTATCAATATTAACTCTCCCCAATTGATTGAGGAAAAAAAAGTCACTATTTTTCAATTCTGACAAGTGTCATAGCCTAAGAAAGGTCTAAAGAAGACTAATGTACAAATATTAGTTCCAAAAGATTTTTTTCCCTAATAGTGCCTAAATATCAATTATTAATCAGGAGTGAAAAGAAAAATGATAGTGAAGAGCAAATATAATTGGATGATACTTACTGATGAAATAATTGAGGAGAAGATTTTGTCAAGTTCATTGAAGTAGGGACAATGTACTTTCTTGCCCTCATTCCTCCTCTCAATAGTTTTCCTATATTGCCGTTTGATATTGCGCCATTTCTGTTCTGCTTGCTTCACAGTATAGTTGAATCCACTATCACTTAGCATCCTTGTGATCAACCCCCACACATTCTTCTTTTTAATGTCTGGGTTTGTAAAATATCCCACATGTTCCGTGTACAGGTCAATTAGCTTTTTCACTGCCTCTCCTGACCAGCCGGGGTAATCAGAAGTATGTTCATTTTCCAGTCCCTGGATGGTGATGCTTTGGGAGGACACAAAATCATCTTTGTCTAGTTTTTTTCTATGCCGAGCACGAACATTCTCAGTTATAACAGATTCCTCCATAACGCCATCAGCTTCAATTATACAAAAGAAAATGAAAGATGCATTTGTGAATTTCCAAAAACATTTTATCATTTAATCAACAAAGAATGATTGTGTGTCTGAATTCCACTGTTGACAATTTTATTGGTTTTTATTTATATTCACATTTTTCCTGCTATACACACACATACACACACATGCACAATAGCTGGATGGATACAAGATCAAGTTTAAAATCAGAGCCTTACATATATATGTGTGAGTATTTCCATTCCAGTAATTGCTTTGTTCCCTCAGTACTTCCCATTAAATTGATCAAGCATTAATTCTGACTACTCATTTAGGCACAATAGAGACATGCTGTTTGAGAGGATGGTCACGTCCTTGTGAGTGATGAATTAGTTTCCACTCAACAGCCCCTTTTTCACAGACAAAACATTGCAAGCCTCTCATACTTAACTATTTACTCAGTTTACAGGATTTTTAGCACAAAGCCATATATATATGAGTCACCCAGTGACCAGTGAGGATCAGTCGCAATACTAATGATCTGCAAAACAAGTTTGCTGAACATCGCACCACAAACAGGTGACCTATCTGTTTATGCACCTGTGGTGTTACTAATGGGATTTATTAAAGAAATATGTGAAAAATATTTCATTCAATATTTCATCATCAGTCCCATGACCAGGTGTGGTTGCCAGGTCACTGCACAATTGAGCATCTGATCAGTTCCCTCCACATATCTGGGTTGAAAGCTGGAGAGGTATTTATTCATGTATAGCATGTCTTCAGCAAGTAGACCTGGTGGAGCTCATTTCTCTTCCAGTAAAATCACATCAATCAATGTTCTCTAACTTAAAGGCTCATCTTGGTCACAAACACATTGTCATTGATTCCATCAAGAGAATCCTCCACTTTGGCTGTTGACTTCAGTTTAGGAAGCCCTCCAGCCAGTGATAACATTTCATCACCACACTGGCTGCATACATAGCCATGGAGCCCAATCTACACAGTTGTGTTAGATGGCCATTGAACCTACAAGAAGATTCATCCATCCTTTGACAGATCTTATTTTTTTCCTGCTGGGTGCCTAGTCACCCTCCTCACCAGAAAAGCCTGGTAGAAAAACCAGTTTAGTTCTGACTGGCTTAAAGAATTGATAAATGCATTTTCAAATAGATGAGGACAGTAGGTGACACATTTAATGTAGTTATAGAATTCATTTGGAGCTATTTAATGATCCAGTTACATAAGAGGAGTGACCTATATGCAAAAAGGCTAATCTTCCTTTCAGAATTGCTAATTATCATCATCACTCCCATGAGTGTGATCATAGGGTTGCTGCACAGCTGAGAACCTGACCAGTTACTTCCAAATATCTGGGTTGAAAGTTGGAGACTTATTCATTCATGCATAGCATGTCTTGTGCTCACAGACCTTGTGGGGCCCATTCCCCTCTTGGTCAAGCCACAGCCAATGTACTCCAACTTGAAATCTTGAAATGTGAAGCCATTGATTCCATTGAGGTAACTTTCGGTCCTGGCTGTTGACTTATCTAGTAAGCCCTCTAACCAGTGATGCCATGTCATCACCACACTCACTGCATCCATAGCCTGGAGCCCAAATGCTCACTTGTGCTGGATGACCATTGATCCTCCAAGGAGATTTATCCACCCTTTGACAGGTTTTATCTTTAATTCTGCTGGGTGTCTAGCCACCCTTCTTCTCAGTAAAGCCTGGTAGGGGAACCGGTTTCATCACTGATGATCTGACCATGTGGAAGCCAGTACTGGGTTACAGGGTACCAATAGCATTCTTATGATTACATACATAACATGGCATATGCTAAAAGCTTATATAGGAAGTAAATAAATATCAAATGTTCACGGTATATTTAATTTGTGAGTAGATATAATGAATATAATTTGAATTCAAAAAGTTAATTAAGTAATAATACTTACCTTCTGATACAAAATTCATGCAAGATATTAATTTCAGTGGAAAATATATCTAGGGGGCATAAAGGGTGCATTTTCCTCCCCTGTCATTGATAAATTTGGAATAATCCACATGAGTGTTGGTCTTGATATAGGTTATTCACATGGCTACAAATGAATGAAAATCACCATGGTAATGTTAGCTCTAACAAAAAAAAAAAAAATGAATTTGGTGATTTTCTGTTTTTTTAACCTAAAATTTGTTTTAGCAAGTTTCAGGAAAAAAATAGAAAAAAGAAAAATCAAAAATTGCAATTACATTAATTATTAACATGGATTAATTGAAAAAATTAAAAAAAGAAAAAAGTTTGTTTGATTTAATTTCTGCAAATGCAAAACATTATAATAAATTCTGATTGAGCATTTGTGTTAATTTTTTAAATTTTATCTATGTGAAAAATAACAAAACAATGTCATCCTGCACAATTTAGCATTACAATTTTTAGAGTCCACTTAGAGAAACATATCAGTTTCAAAACATTTTCAATATTAAATTGATTAGAATATACGAATCCAGTTGCAGGTTAATACAGTGGGTCTGGTTATTAGCAGAAATCTTTGGTTGTCAATCAATTATCAACAAGCAAAAATAATTTCATATTGGCCAACCACTAATGAAAATAATTATCATGATTTGAATGATATTTCAAAATCATCTTTTGCTTTTCTATTTTACCAGTGACATTTTTCCCCCACCAAAACATTTTCCAAGTTCATTTACATAAACTTTTATATTTTTATTATTTGATATATCAATATTTTTTCTATTTAAATATTATTGATTGATGATTGATTTTATGACATGTCAACCTTTGTTGGGTTATTTAAATGTCAAATTTTGTATAGGACACCCATTAAGGACTACTTAGTAGTAATGGCCAATCAGACCAACCTCACTAACTATTAGACCACACTGACATGCTCCAAATATTGAGGACATTATGATTTGAATAACAATGTTTTCATTTCTTTCTGAGTAATGCTTATATTTTTAGTATGAAAACTAAAACTATCTTTAAATGCAATGTACTTTATACTAAATCATATGTCCCGGAAAGGGATATATTTGTTTGAAGTAACAAAGTGGTTTTTGGACTACTGTAACCGAGTACGACAATCTAGCAGGTAACCATAATGGACTGGTCCTCATCGTAGTGGTAGGCAATAGGCAAAGACTATAGGTGTCCTCAATAGGCGCCATTCCTGTACCTCCACATCAGTCTGTATTTATGGCTGACACCAGCCAATCATATTACTGTGAGGGGGAACCCAGGTGTATGTATATTCATTACATCACTAAATTATCTTTAAATGCATTTGAATGGTTTTTAACTGGCTGGTTATCATTTTGCTAATTAGTGTATCAACAGTAACATTTATTTGGAACTTTGGTCAGCTGAGGTACAAAATAAGCAGTTATAATCATAATTTTTGTGTTGGGCACATTTTATTTTTCAGTAAATTTCTCTGATATACATTTCATATACAGTATGATTCTGTTAGTCGAGATATTTTTGTGTGTGTGTATTTTTGATTTGAAAAATAGGAGCCATCTGATCACATTAAATTTATAACAGTTGTTTTCTCAAGGAGACTCCATGACTTGAATGCCTATTGGGACTTAAGCTCTACCCAGATCTCAAGTGGAACTCATACATACAATCCATTGCTAAAGATACTGGAAAAAATGGTTGGGTTTTTTTTTTACTGATCCAGTAAGTTCCAACTCATCCTGCTATCCTCTACCTTTACAAGAGCCTGAGAAGGCCGAAAATAGATTACTGCTGCCATACATGGGCACTGTAATCTTAACCTGTACAAGTTTAAGGTTAACCATTATCTTCACCACATATCCCCATAAACAGTGCCTCTTACTCTGTAACCCTCTACCAAAAGGGGCTCTTAGGCCTTGTTCAGAGTGAACATTAGTGTAAAGAAAAAAAAAAAAAACCTTGCTTCTGATACTAAGAAATGTGGTTAAAAAAACAGCTGTAAAATCATTTCTACATCAATGGCTAACACCACTTTTTTTTAAATAAGTGACATTAAGTATAATATGTATATATGACATTAATAACCTGTAAAGAATATACAGCAATTTTAGTATTTGTAAATAAACAGTAATACTTTTAATTTAAAAGTAACTGTTTAAAAGTTTTAAACAGTTTCAATTTTTTGTATTTTCAGTCATAATGATGTGTAAAGTAGCATAAGTTATCATAAATGTTATCAGTGCAGGGACTGGAGTTCAAATTCCAGTCTAGTATGCATCATTTACTTTCACACATGCTCTTGGGAAAGGTGTGAATTCATCTCTTTTTCCTCCCTACTAGGTCTTAGACAGCAGGCTAGACTGATTGCTCGAGCAGCCAAGTCTAGCTAGAAGGACCACTCCGAAGCCAACTGTAGAGATGGCAACAGGAAACCAGTCCACTATTTTTTCCAAGAAATTATAGCATTTCACATATAAAGAAAAGAATATGTGAAAACTTTTCACATATCCTTTTTTTCACTGAAAAGTTATGATCGCCTACACCCTGAAGAAACATCGCTTTAAAAAAAAAAAGTTTCAGAATTAAAATTGATAGTAAAAAAAAAAAATAAAAATAAATAAAATTTAATAATCTTACAATTTTTTTCTATTAAAACATTCTGTGAATGTATTTTTTTTTTTTTTTTTGGGGATATCAAAACGAGGTCCTGAGTATTTATTTAGAGAGGCTCAAAACGAAAATAATTACTCTTACAAGGACAGGGGAAAGTCGGTGTTAGAATTATTGTAGTGTACTGACAATGTCTTTGCTTCAATAGACCACAAGTTTGAAATAAATGTCTCCTTCTTATTGAGTTGGCTGTTGGATAAATTAAAATTGATTGAGTTACTCGAAAATACTCAAAAATTTCTGTATTGTCCTTTTTGCCAAAAAGCAAGTCCACCAAACTGGAAAACTTAAAAATAAAATGGTACTATTCTGGTAAACAGTTGACGACCATTATTTGGAAATCCTGAACAGTAACATATTTTGGCACTGGCAATAAACACTTCTTGGAATATCAATCAAGCGAACACACTTCTTTTTTTCTTTGTGTTAGTAGCGGAAAAATTATGTGAAGGAATTTAGTTCTCCCTAAGGAACTGACCCCTTACGAACAAACCAAAAAAGGGATAATGTAGGTGTGAATGAAAGTATGTGATCATTGAAGGGTTCTACTTAACTTAAGAAAATTCGCTATTTTGTGTGCTTTGATCAGAGATAAACAATTAAGTTGTATGTTCACAAAAGGGACAGTGAAATGGGGTTTTTAAAATATGAGGAAAAAGAAGCATTCATTAATTTAATTAAAGGCAAGATATTTCTCTAAGAAGAGGCATTTTTGGTTGTTGTGATCCATTTGGGAAAAAAATGTAACTTGTGTACCAGGCAGAGTGCAGAGAGGTTCTTAAAATCGCTTAGAAAAAAAAATTTTTTTTTTTTTAAATAAAAAAAAAAAAAAAAACTTTTAACTTGAGTTTTAAGTGTTCCGTCTTAAAAAACAGAAACGCGATAACCATAAATGCAATTATAAACGCAAAATGACGGGGAAATAGTTTTCAATTGCATGATTTTTATTTCAAAGCCATTTTTGTTTAAAAATATTCAATTACGCTATTTTATCTGAACGAAGAAAGAATGGTGTAGGTAATTTAAAGATAGCTAGAGAAAGAAAGGGAGGGAAATTCTGATGAAAATACGAGAAAAACCGGGCAAATGAAATAGACAAGAAAGAAGGGGCTAAAAAAAAGTGATCCAGGTACATCGAGAGAGAGAAAAAAAAAGAAAAGAAATGTGAAATATTAAGATTGTTAGAAGAGAGAGAGAGGTTAAAGTGCAAGAGAGAGAGAAATCTTTAAAAAAAAATCAATGGTAGAAAACTAAAGTAGGTCGGTCACACAGACTTTACATACATTTCTCTCAGACATTGATGAATGCAGAGACGAAGCAACGAAACGAGTGGAATATAGATCAGATTTTAATTCACTCTTTCTTTATTCAGGAACCTAGCAGTATTATTACTTTAACTTTACGTTCAATCTTCCTTGTACATGCGTTCTTTGCAAATAAATAAAATATGCGCTGGAATCTTTTCTTTTTTTTAATCTATATAAAACAAGGAAAAATAATTTTTTTTTAATTTTTTTCTCATCTTTGTTAGGTTGATTTTTTTTTTTAATTTTTAAATGAATTTTTAGGATTTTATATACCAATTCCAAAAATGCTCACGAAATTTAGTCCAGTTGGAACTTTTATAAACTTAATATTTTTGTTTTAAAAAATAAACAATTTTCTAATTGTCAGAATCTTTTTCGAAATCCACGTGCGTGGTCATTATTGCCATTCATTCCTCTTTTTTCTTTTTTTACACATACAACTTCTTCGTCCCCAATCCCCCACTTAAGTCCTGAAGAAAAAGAAAGAGAAAAACAACTAAAGCCTAAAATGCGTGACTTCATAGAAAATGTTCAATCATTTGTGCGCAAAACTTTAAACAATGAATACTCACCGCAACAAACCTAAGGCCTGGGACGTGAAGGGAAAAAAAGCAAGAAAATTATTGAACAGGAAAAAAAAAAAATTCCTTTTTAGCCTCAGTTGTTGGAAGGGAGGGCCAAGAAGGAAGTTGGCTTGGGGTGTTCGGTTTCAATACGGTCACCTGGTCAGTCTATTGGTAGTCATAAAAGTTAAACTGTCTAACTATGCTCAGATGTGAGCGCAGACTTAAGCCTGGAAAGGCCGATTTATTTTCCAACCAGGACCGGGAACGTGTTTAAATATGAGCGGCAGGAAAGCTGCTAAAGAAACACGGAATATAAAAAAAGAAAAGAAATAAAACGACAAAAGCGAAAAAGGAAAAGTTAAAAATAAGCCTAAAAAATTATTTAAAAAAATCATAGGACCGGGAACGTGGTTACAGAAGCGAGCGACCACGAAAAGAAGGCTGTGC